CCCAATGTCCACCCCCCCCCATGTCCCCAAACCCAGGGGACACCCCAGGGGAGGGGAGAGGTCCCCAGCAGCGCCGAAAGCACGTCCCCAAGTCGAGGGGACACCGACATCCCCCCTCCCGTGGCACACCCCCAGCCCACAGGGACACTTGGGGACACATGTCACACGTCCCCAACCCAGAGGGACACCAACACCCGTCCCCCAAGTGTCCCCCCAGGGATGGGGACAGGTCCTTGGCCGTGCCCAGAGGACTCCAGTGTCACCTCAGGTCCCCACACTGAGGGGACACCTCCACAGGTCACTCCGGAGCGTGTCCCCAAATGAAGGGGACCCCCAGGGTAGGGGACAGGGGTCACTGGCACGTCCCCAAGCTGAGAGGACCCCAGGTCACCCCGAGGTAGGGGACAGGGTCCCCAACGCTGCCTGGAGCATGTCACCGAGCTGAGGGGACACCCGTGTCACACAGGGGCAGGGGGGACAGTGCCACCAAGCGTGTCCCCAAGCCAAGAGCAGCCCTAATTCCCCGTCAGGGCACAGGACAGTGTGTCCCCAGCATGTCCCCAGGCCAAGGGCAGCCCCCGTGTCCCCACTGGGGAAGGGGACAATGTCCCCAAGAGTCCCCTGGGTGTGTCCCCAAAGCAAGAGCGGCCCCACGCTCCTGCTAGGGCAGGGGACAGTGTCCCCAAGAACGTCCCCGAGCACGTCCCCAAGCGAAGGGTGTCCCTACATCCCTGCTGGGACACTGGACAGCGTCCCCAAATGTGTCCCCAAGCCAAGGGCAGCCCTATGTCCCCACTGGGGCAGGGGACAGTGTCCCCAGTCGTGTCCCCAAGCCAAGGGCAGTCCTATGTCCCCACAGGGGCAGGGGACAGTGTCCCCAAGTGTCCCCCCAAGCCAAGGGTGGCCCTATGTCCCCAGTGGGGCAGGGAACAGTGTCCCCAAGTGTCCCCCCAAGCCAAGGGTGGCCCTATGTCCCCAGTGGGGCAGGGAACAGTGTCCCCAAGTGTCCCCCCAAGCCAAGGGTGGCCCTATGTCCCCAGTGGGGCAGGGGACAGTGTCCCCAAGTGTCCCCCCAAGCCAAGGGTGGCCCTATGTCCCCAGTGGGGCAGGGGACAGTGTCCCCAAGTGTCCCCCCAAGCCAAGGGTGGCCCTATGTCCCCAATGGGGCAGGGAAGAGTGTCCCCAACTGTCCCCAAGTGTCCCCCCAAGCCAAGGGTGGCCCTATGTCCCCAGTGGGGCAGGGGACAGTGTCCCCAAGTGTCCCCCCAAGCCAAGGGTGGCCCTATGTCCCCAATGGGGCAGGGAAGAGTGTCCCCAACTGTCCCCAAGTGTCCCCCCAAGCCAAGGGTGGCCCTATGTCCCCAGTGGGGCAGGGGACAGTGTCCCCAAGTGTCCCCCCAAGCCAAGGGTGGCCCTATGTCCCCAATGGGGCAGGGAAGAGTGTCCCCAA